CTACCCCGTGGCAGTGGCCATCCCTGATAAAACGGCCTTGGTGGTGGCCCGGGCATTTGTGGAACACTACGTACTTAAGCACGGGATCCCAGAACGAGTCCTCACCGACCAGGGTAGCGAGTTCGAGGCCGAGTTGTTCCAGGCACTGTGCCGAGAGTTCGGAATCCAGAAGGACCGAACCACAGCGTACCACCCCCAGGCGAACGGGATGGTGGAGCGCATGAATCAGACCTTATCAGGGAAACTCAAACGTATGGCGGCCGCAAATCAACGGGATTGGGATGAACACCTCCCCTACGCCCTTTTCGCCTACGCCACCACCGTACACACGTCGACGGGACAAACCCCGTTTTTAATGATGTTCGGCCGTGAGTCTCGTTTACCCGCAGATCTGCTATTCGGCGTCCCTTCCCCCCAGCCGGAGGAGGGAAGCCGCCCCGTGGAACACCTGTTGGAGACCCTACGAGAAGCCCGAGGCCGAGCATACCCGCAAGGGGAAGCCGCGCATCGGCGGCAGGAACAGGGCACCCGACCCCGCATGGAACCCCCCTTATTCCTGACAGGTGCTAAGGTGTGGCTACACACCCCTCGCGTCGGGGCCGGGCAGGTGGGGAAACTGACGACCTACTGGCGGGGACCCTGGACCGTGGTGCGACAGATCTCCCCCTGGACGGTACTAATTGATGGCGGGGAGAGGGGTCGAGAGACGGTGGTCAATGTCCGCCGCTTAAAACCGTGGAAAGCGGCTCCGGCGAGAGAGAACCCCGTCACCCGAAGGCCCCGAAATCCCGGAGTACCCGCATCCCCCGTGCCCGGGGGCCTCGCGCAGTACATGGGCCCCACGGAGCCCAGGGCTCCGAGGGGCCCCGGGCGGGGCCGGGGGCGACGAGGACGGCGACCCTTAAACCCCACCGCCTCTGAGTTTGTTCCCCAGCCCGCAGGTGCCAGAGGCCGAGGGGAGCCGTTGGAATGGAGGAGGAGACCACCGCCGGAGCCCCAGGAGACGGAGCCGCCACCCCCGAGGCCAGCCACAAGGGCCGGGCGAATCCCGCGGACCCCGCGGCGATACCTCGTGGGGGCAACCCAGGCGAGGTGCTCAAGTCAACCCGGGACGGGGACTGGCACCCCGGGGGGCTATGTGGTGCCACAGCGACGGGGCCGCTCTGCCGAGCCAGGGAGCCGCCCGGCTTCCCCCACCGCACTGCCCCCCATCACCCGCCCCACATAAGCACACACCCGCACGCACCCCCCCCCCCCCCCCCATAGAGCTGGAAGGGAAGGTTACCTGATCGACCGGTTTTTATCCGAGAGACCCGTATCGGGATTAATTCTCACGGTTTCCGGCGATCAGGGAATTGGATGACCTCCCCCGTGCTACGTGGTGCCGCGGCGCTGCTGCCGGCCTTAATATGGTGTGGTCGCGGCGTGGGGCATTCGGCCACCGCGGTTGAGGCGCATTTCCCCCCACACACACCCCCACGAGTCGACGGGGCAAGCAGGGGAGGCACGAGACAGCATGAATAGCGGGGTCACAGGGGCTGTTGCGCATAGTCATGGAGGGTTGGGATAATTGCGCTTGAGCGCGCAGGCCCCATTGTTAGGAAGGGTAAGGGAGTAATTAGGATGTACGCCGCCAACGTCGCGCACTGATTAGCATATCAACAGCGCCCGGGAACCGCCGTGCGCGGGCTTGGGGTGCACGAGCCCATTGTTCAGCGCAGCATCCCCTTTGAGGTAGGGAGGATAAATAGAGGAGCGGAGAGGGGAAATCGCCCCTTCTCTCCAGGCCAGCGGACCAGCAGGAGTTCCAGCCAGCGACCCGGACGTCCGTGCGACGCATCGAGGTACGCTGTTAGCGCAGAGAGCAGCGAACCTCCGCGGGCACCAAACAGTGAGTGGGGAGGTGAAGTAGGGTATCGTAAGCCGATAAATAGGGAATAGGTACAGGTTTAGTGGAATAGGCCAGCCTCGTCGACTCACTGATTCAACATCAATTCGCAGGTGGCATATAATAAATCATTAATAGCGAAGCGTGGTCTCGCGTGATCTTGTCGTGCAGTGTGAGCGTGTGGGTGCGCTGTGTGCACAGTGGTTCGCCACGTGAGTGAGCGCTGCGCGGAGCTGAGCGCGCGGGTTGCGCGTGGGTACGCAGTGATTCTGTGGTGCTGCGGCTCGCCTCGGGGGAGCGCTGCGCAGAGCGGTGCGAGAGTGGGTGTCGCGTGTGTTCACTCCGTGTGTGATACAGGTGCGCGAGTATAACGTGAGTTGAGTTGGAGTGCGCGGAGCGGCGTGTGTGTGGGCGTGCGTGCGTTCGCTCCGCGTGGGTTGCAGGCGCGCGATTAGGAAAGGGAAGTATCGTAGTAGAGAGGGGCAGAATACTAATCGGTAATTAACCATGCCCATTACGCGGACCCGCGGTGGAGGGGAATCCGCGGGCGACGGCTCCCACACCATAGGTGAGGAACTTAGCAGCGGTTCGCTTAGCAGCGGGGGGGGCGATTGATGATGCTAGCCCGGCCGTTAACATTATCGAGGGAGGGATCTCGGGGGCTAGCGACCCCCACACGTCCTACAGGCACAGGCACGCTCCCTGTTCCTCACCCACACGCGGGTTCTCTGTGTCACTGCCATTGCCCTCATGTGACACTTGGTCGCATGGACGACTGGTACTTTTTGAGCCTTTTTTGAGCCTGGCCCAAAACAACATTTTTTTGGTTCTTTCGGTAAAGTCACGTAGAAGGGAAGCAATAAAATAATAAAAATAAAACATAATAAAATAGAATAGTATTATTTTAAGCAATAAAATAATACATAATAAAATAAAATAATATTATTTTAAGCAATAAAATAATAAAAATAAAACATAATAAAATAAAATAATATTTTTGTATTTTATTATGTTTTATTTTTATTATTTTATTGCTTCCCTTCTACGTAACTTTACCGAAAGAACCAAGAAGATGGATCCCTGCAGTCACGAAAGCTTTAAATCGAAAAAAAACAAAACATTGTTTCTTCGAGTGCAGATGGGTCTCAGTCTGCTACTGACCTCACCCTGGGGTTTGCTGTCTGGGTTCGATCCGAACGGTCTGGGAATTTGTCACCTGTCTTTGAAAGCGTAGCTGAAATTGATTTGAACCACCGAGATCTGGTTATCGGTATTGTCTCTAATAGTTTTTATATAAAAAATAAAAATTCAACAAGAGCCCGTCACAGAGCACGAGGGAGGGCGAGAGAGAGGGAGGGGGTACAGGTGTTCCACGGACGATAATACAAAGGCCCGGGCAAGAGAGAGAGAGGGGGGGGGGGGCAGGTGGGTGGGCTGACTGCTCTACTGACGTACTGGGGACAACGGTTCGGGTAACGTGGTCTTTTTAAGGGAGGGGGGTGAGAATTGTGTTGAACGTTCTTACACTCTGTTCTGCTGTAACGCGTGTTGTTTTCGTGACGGGAATTCAATACAACGAGATTCATGTATTGGGGAACTTACATCCATATAAAGCGGATGCGAATTGGATAGAACGCAGATGCAAAGTGGATATAACGAGATCGAGTGAACAGAACCACGTAGCGTCGCACGAAGCGTTGGGATGCTGCTGGATGCTTCTAGATCCGCTACCCACGCGCCCTCAGTCTTTGTCCAGCCTGCGGACGCATCTCGCGTGTGATCGCGGACTCTGCCTTTACCCTGTATCATAGATCAGTTCTTCTCGCGCGATGTTTCCCTAACGCGTTGTTCGTCAGGAATGCCACTACCGCGTTTTCGTAGAACGACAGCGTGGAGGCAGCGCACGCGGTGGCAAAGCTTTGGCCCAACGAGACGAATCCTTCATTCAGACATCGTCAAAGTAAACCGTCTTCCAGTCGATCCTAAACAAGTAAACCCGTAAAAACAAAGTTTTTCACTATAAATCCTTTATATGCGTGGCGGCTAGAGTCCTCTCGTCCTCTGGCTTGAGATGGCTGCCACCTATGGGTCAGATGATTGTCTGCCAGTATTAAGCAATTGGTAATTAAATATTTAATTTGTTTTCCCTAAACAGTGTAAAATTTTGGAAATTATTTTTCACGAAAATTAATTGTCACGCACAACGAGTCTGTGTGGAAAATGTCAGCTCGATTGGATCACGGGAAGTGGGTTAAAAAACGAGCGAAAGATTTGCACGGTCCTAAGCAAGCAAGCGAACTTAATATAAAGGATTTAAAAATATATTCGCCTGTGGAGGACGCGGGGATCGATCCCGCGACCTTTGGCATGGGAAGCGAGGGCGCTACCAACTGCGCTACTCCGCCACGGCCCGTGGAGGGGTTACGCTCTGGGCTCTTATACTGTGACGTTCAGCCAAAGCGATGAATGAGTTCTATTTGAATATATGTAAAATACATTTTTTTTGCCTAAAAAGTGTAAAATTTTGGGAATTTTTTTTCACGAACATTAATTGTCTGGCACAACGAGTCTGTGTGGAAAATGTCAGCTCGATTGGATCACGGGAAGTGGGTTAAAAAACGATCGAAAGATTTGCACGGTCGTAAGCAAGCACGCAAGCGAACTTAATATAAAGGATTTAAAAAGGAGCGTGTAGATAGTTTTAAAATATAAGTTTTTGAATTTTTTTATGATAGAATATAGTCTGGTCATCGGTATGAGATAGCGATACCAAGTTTGCAGTCGATATCATATTGGGAAGTGTGTAAAATTTGAGCTACAAGATGTCTTTTTTGAGGAATTTTGATTTAAAGCTTTTGTGACTGCAGGGATTCATCTTCTTGGTTCTTTCGGTAAAGCCATTACGTAGAAGGGAAATAATAAAGTAATAAAATAAAACATCATGAAATAATATAATGTAAAAATATAATATAATAATAAAATATCTTAATATATTATATTATTTTATTATGTTTTATTTTTAAGGGAAATAATAAAACAATAAAAATAAAACATCATAAAATAATTCTCACGAAGTTTCAGACGCTGTCTTTCCGACAGACCTGTTCTTCACCTGAGGACGGCTGCTTGCGTTGTGGCCGAAACGTCGTGAGAATTGTATTTTCTGATGTTTTATTTTTATTATTTTATTATTTCCCTTCTACGTATTTTATAATAAAATAGTATTTTATAATATTTAAATTTTTTTATTTATTATTTCCCTTCTAACGTATTTTATAATAAAATAGTATTTTATAATATTTAATTTATATTATTTTATTATTTCCCTTCTACGTATTTTATAATATGTAATTTTTATTATTTTATTATTTCCCTTCTACGTATTTTATAATATTAATTTTTTTTTATTTTATGATTTCCCTTCTACGTATTGTATAATAAAATTTTATTTTATTATGTTTTATTTTCATTATTTTATTATTTCCCTTCTACGTGACTTTACCGAAAGAACCAAGAAGACAGACGAAGTGAGTTCAATAAAATCTTGGTAATAAAAACGACGTTTCGGACCCAAAAAAAGCGGCCATCTTCAGGTGATAAATATTGCTTTTCTGTTGTGACTTTAAGCAATTTATAAATAACACTTTTTACCCAGCAAACAAAAATTGTGTTACATAGGGTAATTAGTCGGCAGCGTTGTCGGGTTATTTTAGCATGAATGAAACAAACATATAGCATTAAATAATCATCATTATCATTGTAATATTAATAACGTTATATTGTCATTATGATAAGGTATCGAATTTAACTAATATATAACATTAAATGATCATCATTAGAATCATCTTACTATAATATTACTATAGTAATAATATACACCATTTAATTATCATAATTATAATCGTAATAATTACTTTAATAATATTATATCAATAACATTAAAGTTTACAGTAGGGAGAGTGGGGGAGGGGGTGGGGGGGGGAGAGGGGGGGAGTCCCTTATCCGCTCCACGATTTACAAACGCCTCTTCTCACCACCGCCGGCTAAAGCAGACTAACGAATACACAGCCAATCCGCGCGGGGGATCCTCGTCACGTGCCCCGCCGCCGACCAATCAGCGCCAGGATCAGCTCACCCGTCCACCAGCTTGGAGCCCGCCGAAGATTTTAAACGGGCGGAGAGAATTTTTTTGGGATTTTTAAATAAAGAGATGATTCCAATCCTCGCCGCGTTCTTCACGTAAGCGGAGGTGCGGGACCAGCATTAGACGCGAGCTTAATGAGGCTCGAGACCCACTGAGAGGTGAGCGGCTTTAAACGACGGTGCAGAGGCTAGGCCTCGCGCGGCCTCGACTAGTTTCCTAGCGGAGCCTGCGGCGGCAAGGCCTCGGTTGTGTGCGGCGAGTTTAGTTTTCTATTTCTTAACGGTTTTATTTTTGAACGGATTTCCTTTTTGAACGGTTTTAGTTCTTGAACGGTTTTAGTTAAATTGTTAAAGGTCGCTTTGGTGACGCGTGTCCTACGGGCAGCGTGAGTCTGGTGTTTGTTTGTGGTGCAGTGTTTTGAGTGTGGTAAGTGTTGAGTCTGATGCTGTGTTGAGTCTATGGTGCAGTGTTGTTAGTATTATCGGTATTGCTGAGTCTATGGGTAGTGTTAAGTCTATGGGCAGTGTTGAGTATATGGGTAGTGTTGAGTCTGGGCAGTGTTGGGTCTGGGCAGTGTTGAGTCTGGGCAGTGTTGAGTCTATGGTGCAGTGTTGAGTCTATGGGGGCAGTGTTGAGTCTATGGTGCAGTGTTGAGTCTATGGTGCAGTGTTGAGTCTATGGTGCAGTGTTGAGTCTATGGTGCAGTGTTGAGTCTATGGGTAGTGTTGAGTCTGGCGCAGTGTTGAGTCTATGGTGCAGTGTTGAGTCTATGGGCAGTGTTGAGTCTATGGGGCAGTGTTGAGTCTATGGGCAGTGTTGAGTCTATGGGGCAGTGTTGAGTCTATGGTGCAGTGTTGAGTCTATGGCGCAGTGTTGAGTCTATGGGCAGTGTTGAGTCTATGGGGCAGTGTTGAGTCTATGGGCAGTGTTGAGTCTATGGGGCAGTGTTGAGTCTATGGGGCAGTGTTGAGTCTATGGGCAGTGTTGAGTCTATGGGCAGTGTTGAGTCTATGGTGCAGTGTTGAGTCTATGGCGCAGTGTTGAGTCTATGGGTAGTGTTGAGTCTTTGTTTTTTGTTTGTTGCGGTTGCACCGGATTCAAGAGCCGAATGGCTCACAGGGCTACGTACCTAACGCGTGCAACTTTGAACTCTGAGGTGCAGGGCTACGATGAGCGCGGGCGGAGGGGGTGACAGCGTCTCACGCCAACCCCTCCGTGGGAGCTCCTCGTCAGCGCACAGCGGCGGCGGTGACAACGTTGCTCCGGCCGCAGACGAGAAGGGGGACGAGGAAGTGGAGGAGGAGGAGAGAACGGTGGAACAACAACAACAACAGCAGCAGCAGCAACAACAACAACAGCAGCAGCAATGGCCACAGCAACCTACCAGCTTCACGGTGCAGCAGTATGTTGTGGGGCCACAACAGGGTCTCCAGCAACAGCTCGCCAAGCCCGCCCTTCAGAAACTGATGGAGCAGCAACAGCAACAGCAGCAGCTGCTGTCGCCGCATGCGGTGTTGAAGCAGGGCCTGCAGCAGCAGCAGCAGCTGGTAGTGACTCAGCAGCAGCAGAAGGTGGTACTCCAACATGTAGCGCAGCAGCGGCAGCAGCAGCTTCCGCAGAAGATATTGAAACAGGTGGCGCAACAGGGCACGCAGCAGCAGTTGGTACAGCACAAGCAGCAGCAGCAGCTCATGCAACAGCAGGTGCTGCTGCAGCAGCAGCAGTTTATGTTGCAGCCGCAGCAAGTTCTTTTACAGCAGCAGCAACAGCAGCAGCAGCAAGTCTCCGCACCGTGCGCTGTTCACCAAAGGTTCAAACAGGTGCCCTGCACGTCGTTCATACAGGTACGGCTGCAACGTCGCACGGACGTTGGCGCTGCGTGGAGGGCTGTTACGTGTGTGAGTGTGTGTGTGAGAGTGTGTGTGTGTGCGTGAGTGTGTGTGCGTGTGCGTGAGTGTGTGTGCGTGTGCGTGAGTGTGAGTGAGTGTGTGTGTGAGTGTGTGTGAGTGTGTGTGCGTGAGTGTGTGTGAGTGTTTGAGAGTGCGTGTGTGCGCGTGAGTGTGCGCGTGAGTGTGCGCGTGAGTGTGCGCATGAGTGTGTGAGTGAGTGTGTGCGTGAGTGTGTACGTGTGTACAGGTGTGTGTGTGTGTGTACAGGTGTGTGTCTGTGTGTGTACAGGTGTGTGTGTGTACAGGTGTGTGTGTGTACAGGTGTGTGTCTGTGTGTGTACAGGTGTGTGTGTGTACAGGTGTGTGTCTGTGTGTGTACAGGTGTGTGTGTGTGTGTACAGGTGTGTGTCTGTGTGTGTACAGGTGTGTGTCTGTGTGTGTACAGGTGTGTGTCTGTGTGTGTACAGGTGTGTGTCTGTGTGTGTACAGGTGTGTGTCTGTGTGTGTACAGGTGTGTGTCTGTGTGTGTGTGTACAGGTGTGTGTCTGTGTGTGTACAGGTGTGTGTGTGTCCAGGTGTGTGTCTGTGTGTGTACAGGTGTGTGTACAGGTGTGTGTCTGTGTGTGTACAGGTGTGTGTGTGTACAGGTGTGTGTCTGTGTGTGTACAGGTGTGTGTTGTGTGTACAGGTGTGGTGTGTGTGTGTACAGGTGTGTGTGTGTGTGTACAGGTGTGTGTGTACAGGTGTGTGTGTGTGTGTGTACAGGTGTGTGTGTGTACAGGTGTGTGTGTGTACAGGTGTGTGTGTGTACAGGTGTGTGTCTGTGTGTGTACAGGTGTGTGTCTGTGTGTGTACAGGTGTGTGTCTGTGTGTGTACAGGTGTGTGTCTGTGTGTGTACAGGTGTGTGTCTGTGTGTGTACAGGTGTGTGTCTGTGTGTGTACAGGTGTGTGTGTGTACAGGTGTGTGTCTGTGTGTGTACAGGTGTGTGTGTGTACAGGTGTGTGTGTGTACACGTGTGTGTCTGTGTGTGTCGTGTGTGTACAGGTGTGTTGTGTACAGGTGTGTGTGTGTGTACAGGTGTGTGTGTGTACAGGTGTGTGTGTGTACAGGTGTGTGTGTGTGTACAGGTGTGTGTACAGGTGTGTGTGTGTGTACAGGTGTGTGTACAGGTGTGTGTGTGTACAGGTGTGTGTGTGTACAGGTGTGTGTGTGTACAGGTGTGTGTCTGTGTGTGTACAGGTGTGTGTCTGTGTGTGTGTGTACAGGTGTGTGTGTGTGTACAGGTGTGTGTCTGTGTGTGTACAGGTGTGTGTCTGTGTGTGTACAGGTGTGTGTCTGTGTGTGTACAGGTGTGTGTCTGTGTGTTTACAGGTGTGTGTGTGTGTACAGGTGTGTGTGTGTGTAGGGAGCGGTAGTGTAGCGGTTAGCGCGCTGCGCTATGAACCTGGCGATCCGGGTTCGATTCCCGCTCACGGCTAACACCAGTGACGATTATCTGAACCGGTCCTGGGCCTCCCCTAGGTCGACTCAGCCTTCAATGAGTACCTGGTGCGGTGTGTAAACATCGCCACTAGGGAGACAAAGGCGGTCGGGCGTGGTGCTGGCCACCCACCCCCTCGGGTACCGTTCCGGCCTTCATAGGTGCTCGCTAACAGCACTTGCCCCTACAGTCTGTTCAGGCTATACGGGGGATCTTTGTCTTTATCTTTGTGTGTGTGTACAGGTGTGTGTGTGTGTACAGGTGTGTGTCTGTGTGTGTACAGGTGTGTGTGTGTACAGGTGTGTGTGTGTACAGGTGTGTGTCTGTGTGTGTACAGGTGTGTGTGTGTACAGGTGTGTGTCTGTGTGTGTACAGGTGTGTGTCTGTGTACAGGTGTGTGTCTGTGTGTGTACAGGTGTGTGTCTGTGTGTGTACAGGTGTGTGTCTGTGTGTGTACAGGTGTGTGTGTGTACAGGTGTGTGTCTGTGTGTGTACAGGTGTGTGTCTGTGTGTGTACAGGTGTGTGTGTGTACAGGTGTGTGTCTGTGTGTGTACAGGTGTGTGTCTGTGTGTGTACAGGTGTGTGTCTGTGTGTGTATGACTGGGGAGCGGTGGTGTAGTGGTTAGCGCTACGCTGCGCTATGAACCCGGCGACCCGGGTTCGATTCCCGCTCACGGCCAACACCAACAGTGACGATTATCTGAACTGGTCCCGGGCCTCACCTAGGTCGACTCGGCCTCAAATGAGTACCTGGTGCGGTGTGTAAACATCGCCACTGGGGAGACAAAGGCGGCCGGGCGTAGTGCTGGCCACCCACCCCCTCGTGTGCCGTGCCGGCCTTCATAGGTGCTCGCTAGCAGCACTTGCCCCTACAGTCTGTTAAGGCTACACGGGGGATCTTTGTCTTGATGGTGTGTTGGACCCAGAGTCGGCTCCGGTTTGACAGCAGAGGTCTTACTCCGAATCAGTTGAGCGGCGTGATCTGTTTACCTTGGTGATCAATGCTGCTGCTGATGGTGATGATGATGACGGTGATGATGACGGTGATGATGATGACGGTGATGATGATGACGGTGATGATAATGACGGTGATGATGATGACGGTGATGATGACGTTGACGATGATGACAATGGCGATGGTGTTGATGATGGTGATGATGCTGATGATGGTGATGATGATGGTGGTGATGATGGTGGTGATGATGATGACAATGGCGGTGGTGATGACAATGGTGATGGTGATGACGACGATGATGATGGTGATGATGATGGTGATGATAATGGTGTTGATGATGACAATGGTGATGGTGACGACGACGACAATGACGATGACGATGATGACGACGACGACGACGATGATGACAGAGTGTCGCGGCCGCTACGGCGATCAATCCCGCCGCTGGCGACAGTAACCATGACAGGCGTGCTCCGTACCCCCACAGCTCTCCGCTGCTCCGGTCAGCCTCCAGAGGGTCCTGTCATCCGCCACCACGGCCGCCACGGCCGCCACCACCACCACGTTGGCAGCTTCGCGATCAACAGCAGCAGCCACCACCAACCCGACCCCTTCCATCGCCACCACCACCACCACCAGCGGCGTTAGCCCCGGCGTTCAGCAGCAGCTGCTGCAGCAGCAGGAGCAGCTGCAGCTGCTGCAGCAGCAGCAGCAGCAGCAGTTTGTATTGCCAAGCACCGTCACGCTGCAGCAAGAAGCGCCGGCTCCGGTTCTCGGCAGCGCCGCTGGAAGCATCGGAAGCGCCGCTGGAAGCGCCGTGGGAAGCATCGGAAGCATCGGAAGCGCCGCTGGGATCACCGCGGGAAGCATCGGAAGCGCCGCTGGAAGCGCCGTGGGAAGCATCGGAAGCATCGAAAGCATCGGAAGCGCCGCTGGGATCACCGCGGGAAGCGCTTCTCCCGGTGGGGCGTCGCTAGCCGCTACCGGGAGTTTGCCGGGAGCGCCGCGTGAGCGCCGTTTGCCCGCGGCTCTCCCCGGAGGGACGGTGCGCCACTTGGGGCCCGGCGCTGGCAGCGCTCGCCCCGGCAGCGGCGTTAGTATCGCTGGCGTCTCTCCGCAGCTCAGCAGCCTGACTCGGGGGCAGCTGCTGTCGCAGCATGTCGGCGGTGGCGGTGGTGGTGGTGGTGGTGGCGGTGGTGGTGGTGGTGGCGGTGGTGGTGGTGCCCTGTTGCTGCTGCAGCAGCTGCGTCTGCGCTGCAGCGTGGCGGAGGTGCGGCGTGCGCAGCTAGAAGGACTTGGAGGACGACGCCGCCGCCTGCTGCGGGAGGCGCTCTTCCTCAAGGGGGGCGGCAACATGGTGGACTTCCCGGCCTTCTGTCGGAGGCCCGGACACTCGGCCGTCGCCACGCTGCAGCAGAACGAGTTGGAGAGCGGTGGCGGTGGTGGCGGTGGTGGTGGTGGTGGTGGCGGTGGTGGTGGTGGTGGTGCGGTGGTGGTGGTGGTGGTGGTGGAGAAGCAGCAGCAGCAGCAGGGTGGAGGTGGTGGTGGTGGTGGAGTCCTGGTGGACGAGTCGAGGTGCCGCGTGATTAACGACGAGGTGAGAGCGCTGAGGGAGGGAGGGAGGGGGGGGGAGTGTGGTGAAGGTGAGTGGGGGGTGAGCGGTGGTGGGGGGGTGGGTGAGTGTGGTGAGCTAGCGGTGAGCGAGTGGTGAAGGTGAGTGGGGGGGTGGGTGGTGATGGGGGGGTGGGTGAGAGCGGTGAGCGAGTGGTGGTGAGGGGGGGAGATGGGTGAGTGTTGTGAGGGTGAGTGGGGGGTGAGTGAGGGGGGGTGAGTGAGGGTGAGTGGGGTGGGTGAGTGGTGAGGGGGGGGTGAGTGGTGAGGGTGAGTGGGGGGGTGGGTGAGTGGTGATGGTGTGTGAGGGGGGAGGCAGAGGTCGCAAACGGGTTTTGATTCCTTACCCGTACCCGGCCGCACCAGGGTCGCAAACAGGTACCCGTACCCGTACCCGGCCGGGTACGGATAGCCGGGTATCGGGTAGGGTACGGGTATCAGGTAGGGTACGGGTATCGGGTAGGGTACGGGTATCGGGTAGGGTACGGGTATCGGGTACCCGGTTGCGACCTCTGGGGGGGAGTGAGTGGTGAGGGTGAGTGAGTGGTGAGTGAGTGAGTTGTGGGAGAGTGAGTGGGTGAGTGAGTGAGTGAGTGGTGAGTGAGTGGTGAGGGTGAGTGAGTGGTGAGTGAGTGAGTGGTGAGTGAGTGAGTGAGTGAGTGGTGACCTCCCCCGACAGGTGAAGGTGGTGAGTGGTGGGTGAGTGAGTGGTGAGTGGTGAGTGAGTGGTGAGTGAGTGAGTTGTGGGAGAGTGGTGAGTGGGTGAGTGAGTGAGTGAGTGGTGAGTGAGTGAGTGGTGAGTGAGTGGTGACCTCCCCCGACAGGTGAAGGTGGTGAGTCGTGAGTGGTGAGTGAGTGGTGAGTGAGTGGTGAGTGAGTGGTGAGTGAGTGAGTGGTGAGTGAGTGAGTGGTGAGTGAGTGAGTGAGTGGTGAGTGAGTGGTGGGTGAGTCGTGAGTGGTGAGTGAGTGAGTGGTGAGTGAGTGGTGAGTGAGTGAGTGGTGGGTGAGTAGTGAGTGAGTGAGTGGTGGGTGAGTGGTGATGGTGGGTGAGTGAGTGGTGAGTGAGTGAGGGTGAGTGAGTGGTGAGTGAGTGGTGAGTGAGAGTGAGTGAGTGAGTGGTGAGTGGTGAGTGAGTGGTGGTGGGTGAGTGAGTGGTGAGTGAGTGGTGAGTGAGTGAGTGAGTGGTGGGTGAGTGGTGAGTGAGTGGTGAGTGAGTGGTGACTTCCCCCGACAGGTGAAGGTGGTGAGTCGTGAGTGAGTGAGTGGTGAGTGAGTGAGTGGTGAGTGAGTGAGTGAGTGGTGAGTGAGTGGTGGGTGAGTAGTGAGTGAGTGGTGGGTGAGTGGTGAGTGAGTGAGTGGTGAGTGAGTGGTGACCTCCCCCGACAGGTGAAGGTGGTGAGTGGTTGGTGAGTGGTGAGTGAGTGGTGAGTGAGTGGTGAGTGAGTGGTGGGTGAGTGGTGAGTGAGTGGTGGGTGAGTGGTGAGTGAGTGAGTGAGTGGTGAGTGAGTGGTGACCTCCCCCGACAGGTGAAGGTGGTGAGTGGTTGGTGAGTGGTGAGTGAGTGGTGAGTGAGTGGTGAGTGAGTGAGTGGTGAGTGAGTGGTGAGTGAGTGAGTGGTGAGTGAGTAAGTGGTGAGTGAGTGGTGACCTCCCCCAACAGGTGAAGGTGGTGAGTGGTGGGTGAGTGAGTGGTGAGTGAGTGGTGAGTGAGTGAGTGGTGAGTGAGTGGTGAGTGAGTGGTGACCTCCCCCAACAGTTGAAGGTGGTGAGTGGTGAGTCAGTGAGTGGTGAGTGAGTGAGTGGTGAGTGAGTGGTGAGTGAGTGGTGACCTCCCCCGACAGGTGAAGGTGGTGAGTGGTGAGTGAGTGAGTGGTGAGTGAGTGGTGAGTGAGTGGTGAGTGAGTGAGTGAGTGGTGAGTGAGTGAGTGGTGAGGGTGAGTGAGTGGTGAGTGAGTGGTTTCTGTGGGTCTGGGTGTCTGTGGGTCTCTGTGGATCTGGGTGTCTGTGGGTCTCTATGGGTCTGGGTGTCTGTGGGTCTCTGTGGGTCTGGGTGTCTGTGGGTCTCTGTGGGTCTGGGTGTCTGTGTGGGTCTGGGTGTCTGTGTGGGTCTGGGTGTCTGTGGGTTTCTGTGGGTCTGGGTGTCTTGTGGGTTTCTGTGGGTCTGGGTTTTTGTGGGTCTCTGTGGGTCTGTGGGTTTCTGTGGCTATCTGGGTGTCTGTGGATCTCTGGATCTGGGTGTCTCTATGGGTCTCTATGGGTCTGGGTCTCTATGGGCTCTATGGGTCTGGGTGTCTCTGTGGGTCTCTATGGGTCTGGGTTTCTCTATGGGTCTCTATGGGTCTGGGTGTCTCTATGGGTCTCTATGGGTCTGGGTGTCTCTATGGGTCTCTATGGGTCTGGGTGTCTCTATGGGTCTCTATGGGTCTGGTTGTCTGTATGGGTCTCTGGGTCTGGGTGTCTCTGTGGGTCTCTATGGGTCTGTGGGTCTGGGTGTCTCTGTGGGTCTCTATGGGTCTGGGTGTCTCTATGGGTCTCTGTGGGTCTCTATGGGTCTGGGTGTCTCTGTGGGTCTCTGTGGGTGTCTCTGTAGGTCTCTATGGGTCTGTGGGTCTCTGTGGGTCTGGGTGTCTGTGGGTGTCTCTATGGGTCTCTATGGGTCTCTGGGTCTGTGGGTCTCTGTGGGTCTGGGTGTCTGTGGGTGTCTCTATGGGTCTCTATGTGTCTCTATGGGTCTGGGTGTCTCTATGGGTCTCTATGGGTCTGGGTGTCTCTGTGGGTCTCTATGGGTCTGTGGGACTCTGTGGGTCTCTATGGGATGGGTGTCTCTGTGGGTCTCTCTGGGTCTGGGTGTCTCTGTGGGTCTCTATGGGTCTCTATGGGTCTGGGTGTCTCTGTGGGTCTCTATGGGTCTCTATGGGTCTGGGTGTCTCTGTGGGTCTCTATGGGTCTCTATGGGTCTGGGTGTCTCTGTGGGTGTCTCTATGGGTCTGGGTGTCTCTATGGGTCTCTATGGGTCTGGGTGTCTTTGTGGGTCTCTGTGGGTGTCTCTGTGGGTCTCTATGGGTCTGGGTGTCTCTGTGGGTCTCTGTGGGTGTCTCTGTGGGTCTCTATGGGTCTGGGTGTCTCTGTGGGTCTCTGGGTCTGAGTGTTTCTGTGGGTCTCTATGGGTCTGGGTGTCTCTGTGGGTCTCTATGGGTCTCTATGGGTCTCTATGGGTCTCTATGGGTCTGGGTGTCTCTGTGGGTCTCTGGGTCTGGGTGTCTCTGGGTGTCTCTATGGGTGTCTCTGGGTGTCTCTGGGTGTCTCTGGGTCCGTACGTAACCAACCGTGATGGCCGGATGTGACCTCTGTGTGGGTCATCGGTGAGTGACCTCTGCCCCCCCCCCCCCCTTCCCCGTAGCAGGAGGGTGCCGTGCTGAGGATCTGCCCATGCACCGCTCCCACAACTGCTCCCTCCTCATCAGCACCATCATCAGCGCCACCATCATCAGCAGCAGCACCACCACCATCATCAGCAGCAGCAGCACCACCATCATCATCAGCATCATCAGCACCACCATCATCATCAGCATCATCAGCACCACCATCAGCATCAGCAGCAGCAGCACCACCACCATCATCATCAGCACCACCACCATCAGCACCAGCATCATCAGCACCACCAGCATCAGCAGCACCACCATCATCAGCAACACTACCAGCACCATCATCAGCAGCACCACCACCATCAGCACTACCACCACCACCATCATCAGCACCACCACCACCATCAGCATTACCACCACCACCATCATCATCAGCGTCGCTGTCATCAGCAGTGGCGATGGCGTCGTCGTCGGTGACGTCATCGGCGTCGCCCCAGCTGCCGTCTCCCATGGCAACGGCGTCGGCGGTCGCCGTGACGACCGCATCGCCTGCCGCTGGTGGTGGCAGCGGCCAACGTGAGTGGTGGTGACGGTGGTGGTGGTGACGGTGGTGACGGTGGTGACGGTGGTGACGGTGGTGACGGTGGTGACGGTGGTGGTGGGTGACGGTGGTGGTGGTGGTGACGGTGGTGGTGGTGGTGACGGTGGTGACGGTGTTGACGGTGGTGACGGTGGTGACGGTGGTGACGGTGGTGACGGTGGTGACGGTGTGGTGGTGGTGACGGTGGTGGTGACGGTGGTGTGACGGTGGTGGTGGTGGTGGTGGTGACGGTGGTGACGGTGGTGACGGTGGTGACGGTGGTGACGGTGGTGGTGGTGGTGACGGTGGTGACGGTGGTGACGGTGGTGGTGGTGGTGACGGTGGTGACGGTGGTGACGGTGGTGACGGTGGTGACGGTGGTGACGGTGGTGACGGTGGTGGTGGTGACGGTGGTGGTGGTGGTGACGGTGGTGGTGGTGACGGTGGTGGTGGTGACGGTGGTGGTGGTGACGGTGGTGGTGGTGACGGTGGTGGTGACGGTGGTGGTGGTGACGGTGACGATGGTGATGGTGGTGGTGATGATGGTGATGATGGTGATGATGGTGATGATGGTGATGACGGTGGTGATGGTGATGATGGTGATGAAGGCTGTGGTCAGGACGACGATCACTACGATGCCATAACCCATGACCCCCCCCCTCTCCTCCCCCACTACCGCCCCCCCCACCACTCCCCCCCCGTCTCCCACGACCTCCGACCCCACCGCCCCCACCCGCACTTCCTGCAGCGGCGGCCGTGGCGTCCCGAGCGCTCCTCCTCCTCCTCCACGCTGCTGCTACAGCTGCTGCTGCTCCTGCTGCTGCTGCTCCTGCTGCTGCTACAGCTGCTGCTGCTGCTGCTCCTGCTACTGCTGCTGCTGCTCCTGCTGCTGCTACAGCTGCTGCTGCTCCTGCTGCTGCTGCTCCTGCTGCTGCTACAGCTGCTGCTGCTGCTGCTCCTGCTGCTGCTACAGCTGCTGCTGCTGCTGCTCCTGCTGCTGCTACAGCTGCTGCTGCTGCTGCTCCTGTTCCTGCTGCTGCTGCTGCTCCTGTTCCTGCTGCTGCTGCTGCTGCTGCTCCTGCTGCTGCTGCTGCTGCTCCTGCTGCTGCTGCTCCTGCTGCTGCTGCTCCTGCTGCTGCTGCTCCTGCTGCTGCTGCTGCTGCTACAGCTGCTGCTCCTGCTGCTACAGCTGCTGCTGCTCCTCCTGCTGCTGCTCCTGCTGCTGCTGCTGCTGCTGCTGCTACAGCTGCTGCTGCTGCTGCTGCTGCTGCTGCTGCTGCTGCTCCTGCTGCTGCTGCTGCTGCTCCTGCTGCTGCTGCTGCTGCTGCTGCTCCTGCTGCTGCTGCTGCTGCTGCTGCTCCTGCTGCTGCTCCTGCTGCTGCTCCTCCTGCTGCTGCTGCTGCTCCTGCTGCTGCTGCTCCTGCTGCTGCTACAGCTGCTGCTGCTGCTGCTCCTGCTACTGCTGCTGCTGCTCCTGCTGCTGCTGCTCCTGCTGCTGCTGCTCCTGCTGCTGCTACAGCTGCTGCTGCTGCTGCTCCTGCTGCTGCTACAGCTGCTGCTGCTGCTGCTCCTGTTCCTGCTGCTGCTGCTGCTGCTGCTGATCCTGCTGCTCCTGCTGCTGCTCCTGTTCCTGCTGCTGCTGCTGCTGCTGCTGATCCTGCTGCTGCTGCTCCTGCTGCTGCTGCTCCTGCTGCTGCTGCTCCTGCTGCTGCTGCTGCTGCTGACGCTGCCCAGCTGACGGCTCCGCTGCTACCGGCACCACCACGACCGCTGACGGTGACAACCCCGTGGACAACCCCGTTGACAACCCCGGTGACGACGCCGGTGACAACGCCGGTGACGGTGACAACGCCGGTGACAACGCCTCCTCGGCTGTCCGGGGATGAGGAAGTGAAGACGGAGGATGACCCTGCAAGACAGGCACAGATGGTGCGGGGAGACACGGAGAGACGCGGGGAGACGTGAAGATGGAGGATGACCCTGCAAGACAGGCACAGATGGTGCGGGGAGACACGGGGACTGGGGAGACGCGGGGAGACGCGGAGAGACACGGGGAGACACGGGGAGGCACGGGGGAGAGACACGGGGGAGACACGGGGGAGACACGGGGGAGACACGGGGGAGTACATAGGTGGTGCTACTCAATGTTACTAACAGCACTTGACCCTACAGTCTATTAAGGTGTCTGCGTGTGTGTGTGTGCGGTTTGTGTGCGTGTGTCTGCGTGTGTCTGCGTGTGTGCGCGCGTGTGTGCGTGTGTCTGTGCGTGTGTGTGTGTGCGGTGTATGTGTGGTGTGTGTGTGGTGTGTGCGTGTCTGTGTGTGCATGTGTGTGTGTGGTGTGAGTCTGTGTGTGTCTGCGTGCGGTGTGTGTGTGTGTCACTGTGTGTGTGTGTCACTGTGACCACTGGACGGGTTCCGCAGGACTGGAAGGATGCCCTGGTGGTTCCCCTCTTTAAGAAGGGGGACCGTACCGACTGTAACAACTACAGGGGCATCTCACTCCTCAGTGTGCCGGGTAAGGTCCTGGCAAGGATTATTCAACATCGCCTTGCTAGGCACGCTGAGGAGAGGCTTGCGGAGCCCCAATGCGGTTTCAGGAAAGGGCGGTCCTGCACAGATGCCATATTTTCTGTCCGTCTGCTACAGCAGAGGTGTAGGGAATTCCAAAAAGACCTACATCTCTGCTTTATTGACCTGGTCAAGGCCTATGATACCATCAGTAGGACTGGGCTCTGGGTTGTTCTTCGTGCTTTCGGAGTCCCTGACCCTCTGCTCACGATCATTAAGGACCTTCATGATGGTGAGCGGGCCCGGGTAAAACTACGTGGCCGGGAGTCGGAGCCTTTCCCTGTACACCTTGGGGTGCGACAGGGATGTCCTCTGGCTCCCACATTATTTAACATCTATTTTGACCGCGTAGTTCGTGAAGCCTTCAATAGCTGTACCGGAGGAATTTCCATTTGGTACAGATATAATGGGAGGCTGATCGACGCCCGGGTGCGATCAAGGGATGGCTCCCTATTGGTCAACCACGTTATGTATGCCGATGATTTGGTAATAGCTGCTCATTCAGAAGAGGAGTTGGAGGCGCTGCTGCTGAGACTGGAGCGTGCCACTAAGAGGTGGGGCCTTACCATCAGCCCCACCAAAACCAAGCACCTGCCTGGGTATTTTGTACCATCGGACACTCCACCCCCACAACTCCCAATTGGTGATGGGGCAGTTGTGGAGAGAGTGGAGAGTTTCCCATACCTGGGCAGTATGCTTATGACCGGCTCCAGTCTATCAGCAGAGGTCTCACTCCGAATCAGTCGAGCGGCAATATCTTTTCATCGGTTGCGTAACGCTGTGTGGAAGCTACCTGGTCTGTCGCTCCGCACGAAGCTTCAGGTCTTCTCGGCCACGGTCATTCCCTCCCTTCTCTACGCTTGCGAGACGTGGACCCCCCTGGTGGAGCATCTTCGCCGGTTGGAAACATTTAGGCTGGCCTGCCTACGATCCATCCTGGGTTTAACCAGGCTGGATTGTGTGAGGAGCTCACAAATCCTTGAAAGATCTGGGCAAAGTCCCATCAGTGAGCTCCTCCGGCAGGCAAGGCTGCGTTGGCTGGGTCATGTAGCCCGCATGCCCAGCCACCGCATGCCTAAACAGCTTTTGTTCGGCCGGATCGAGGGGGCTAGACGGGCGCGGCACGGGCTGGAGAAGAGATGGAGTGATGTGGTACAGGAGGACGTGGAGCTGAGTGGACTTGCCGATGACTGGTACCAGCGGTGTCAAGATCGGCCTCAGTGGAGGAGGCTCGTGAAGGACGCTACTGGGCAGTTGGAGGCAGTCGCCCTCCAACAACAACGGAGGGCGGAGGAGCGACGCTCACAACAACGAGCGGAGCGCCGGGTGGCTAAAGCACAGCAAGTTGGCACAGTAGGGGGCACAGGTGGTGCATCAGCCAGTCATCTCGGTCATCTCGGTCAGTCGACCCGTGGCACCTGGGTCTGCCCCGTGACCTCCTGCCAGCGGGCTTTCGACACTTCACGTGGCCTCAAGGTGCACTTGGCCTGGCACAAGCATCGTGGTGACGTCACCGCCACTTAGTGGCGAATGGCGGTTGTTGTTGTTGTTGTGTCACTGTGTGTGTCACTGTGTGTGTCACTGTGTGTGTCACTGTGTGTGTGTGTCACTGTGTGTGTCACTGTGTGTCACTGTGTGTGTGTGTCTCTGTGTGTCACTGTGTGTGTGTGTGTGTCACTGTGTGTCTGTGTGTCACTGTGTGTGTGTGTGTCACTGTGTGTGTGTGTGTGTCACTGTGTGTCACTGTGTGTGTGTGTGTGTCACTGTGTGTCACTGTGTGTCTGTGTGTCACTGTGTGTCTGTGTGTCACTGTGTGTGTGTGTCACTGTGTGTCTGTGTGTCACTGTGTGTGTGTGTGTGTCACTGTGTGTCACTGTGTGTCTGTGTGTCACTGTGTGTGTGTGTAGGAGGCGGGCGTGATGGAGCGAGTGTGGAGCCTGCGCAAGGCCGGGTTGTGGGCACCACAGCGTCTGCCCCGCGTGGCCGAGCCTCCACGTCCACGCGCACACTGGGACTGCCTGCTGCAGGTGTGTGTGTGTGTGTCACTGTGTGTACGTGTGTGTGTACGTGTGTGTGTGTGTACGTGTCACTGTGTGTGTGCGTGTGGCCGAGCCTCCACGTCCACGCGCACACTGGGACTGCCTGCTGCAGGTGAGTGTGTGTGTGTCTGTGTGTGTGTCTGTGTGTGTGTGTCACTGTGTGTGTGTCACTGTGTGTGTGTGTCACTGTGTGTGTGTGTACGTGTGTGTGTGTGTCACTGTGTGTGTGTCGTGTGTGTCACTGTGTGTGTGTGTCACTGTGTGTACGTGTGTGTACGTCTGTCACTGTGTGTACGTGTGTGTACGTCTGTCACTGTGTGTGTGTCACTGTGTGTGTGTGTGTCACTGTGTGTGTCACTGTGTGTGTCACTGTGTGTGTCACTGTGTGTGTCTGTGTGTGTGTCACTGTGTGTACGTGTGTGTACGTGTGTGTGTCTGTGTGTCTGTGTGTGTGTCTGTGTGTGTCACTGTGTGTGTGTCTGTGTCTGTGTGTACGTGTGTCTGTGTGTGTGTCTGTGTGTGTGGGTGTGTCTGTGTGTGTGTCTCTGTGTGCCTCAAGGTGCACTTGGCCTGGCACAAGCGTCGTGGTGACGTCACCGCCACTTAGTGGCGAATGGCGGTTGTTGTTGTTGTTGTTGTTGTGTCACTGTATGTCACTGTGTGTGTGTCACTGTGTGTGTCTGTGTGTAGGAGATGGAGTGGATGGCTGAGGACTTTGCCCAGGAGCGACGATGGAAGATCGCTGCGGCCAAGACGGTGCGGCCACAAACACAACAACAAACACAACCACAACAACAACAACAACCACAACAACAAACACAACACGCAACACACAACCACAACACACGTCCCCGTGTCTCTCTCACCTCCCCGTGTCTCTCTCCACGCAGCTGTGCGTGTCGGTGTCTCCCCCGTGTCTCTCTCACCTCCCGTGTCTCTCTCCACGCAGCTGTGCGTGTCGGTGTCTCACCCGTGTCTCTCTCACCTCCGCGTGTCTCTCCACACGCAGCTGTGCGTGTCGGTGTCTCCCTCGTGTCTCTCTCACCTCCCCGTGTCTCCCTCACCTCCCCGTGTCTCCCCGTGTCTCCCTCACCTCCCCGTGTCTCCCCGTGTCTCCCTCGTCTCCCCGTGTCTCCCCGTGTCTCCCCGTGTCTCCCCGTGTCTCCCTCACCTCCCCGTGTCTCCCCGTGTCTCTCTCACCTCCGCGTGTCTCCCTGCATCTCCCCGTGTCTCCCCCCACGCAGCTGTGCGTGTCGGTGTCTCGCCACGTGCAGCGCGAGGCGGCCAGGAGGATGCGCGAGGAGTCGTGGCGCGGTGCGGCGCTGCGGAGACTCGCTCGACACGCAGCCAGCGCCGTGACGCAGTTCTGGGGAAACATGTGGCGGGTAAGGGGGGGGGGTTACCTGGGTCAGCTTTATATCACACAGTGACACACACAGTGACACACAGTGACACACACAGTGACACACACACACACACAGTGATGCACACACAGTGACACACACAGTGACACACAGTGACACACACAGTGACACACACACACACACAGTGATGCACACACAGTGACACACAGTGACACACACACACAGTGACACACACAGTGACACACACACAGTGACACACACAGACACACACACACACAGTGACACACACAGTGACACACACACACAGACACAGACACACACACAGTGACACACACAGACACAGACACACACACACACACAGACACACACACGTACACACACACTGACACACACACACACGTACACACAGTGACACACACAGTGACACACATACACACACACAGTGACACACACACACACAGTGCCACACACACTGTGTGTGTATCATATCCTTAAAGAGCTCTTTGGTCTTGGCCATGGTGGAGAGTTTGGAATCTGATTGATTGCTTCTGTGAACAGGTGTCTTTAATACAGGTGTAATAAAAGGACTCGGACACTTCTTTCTGTCTTCGTGTCTTTATTCGGGTTCTCGTCTTTACCCACACGGCACTCTGTTATAACTCCTGTATTTGTAGCCCCCGGCTATTCTCTGCTATTATAGCTTCTTCTTTCCTCCGACTCTCTGCTTCATCTACTCCCCTCCTTCCTGCAGACTCGCTGCTACCCTTATGTGCAGACCCCCTGGCTGCCACTGTATGCAGACCCGCTGCCCACTCTCTCTCTGCAGCTCCGCTGCTGACTGCAGCCCTCCCTGCTGCCTCGGGTCGGTCACCGCTGGCCAACGGTGCCGATCCTCGTTCCTCCCCGTGTTCGTGGCGATCTCGCCACACCCCGCTTCGCCCTTCGTGGCCTTCCTCTGTTCCTGGTTCCCCGTCACTCCCCTTCCTCTTCCGGTTCCCCTCCTTCTATACTCAACCCCTCTCCCCCCACGTGACCTAACTCCTCCCCCCATGACGGCACCTCCGGAGGGCCATTTACAACCGCATTACACAGGTAACAAGCTGAGATTAGGAGCACTCCCTTTAAGAGTGTGCTCCTAATCTCAGCTCGTTACTTGTATAAAAGACACCTGGGAGCCAGAAATATTTCTGATTGAGAGAGGGTCAAATACTTATTTCCCTCATTGAAATGCAAATCAAAATATAACATTTTTGACTTGCGTTTTTATGGATTTTGTTGTTGTTATTCTGTCTCTCACTGTTCAAATAAACCTACCGTTACAATTATAGACCGATCATTTCTTTGTCAGCGGGCAAACGTACAAAATCAGCAGGGGATCAAATACTTGTTTCCCTCACTGTAGATGCTTGCTGTGAGACTTGCACTTGCCCCTGCAGCAGTGTGGAGGCTCCCTGGGTCACCTTGGTCTCGCCCCCCGCCACGCAGGTCGTCCGCTTCAAGGAGCAGACCCTGGTGGGGGCTGCGGAGTCACGTGACCCGGCCCCAACGCTCTGCACCAATCAGCACACAGCGGGGACGGTGAGCGAGTTCTTTTGGCGTGACGCACAGACACACACAGACACACAGACACACACAGACACACACAGACACACACAGACACACACAGACACACACAGACACACACAGACACACAGACACACACAGACACACACACAGACACACACACAGACACACACACACAGACACACGCACAGACACACACAGTGTCACACACGCATAGACATACACACACAGCCACACACACACAGACACACACACAGACACACACACACACACACAGACACACACACACAGACACAGACACACCCAGACACACACACAGACAAAGATACAAAGATCCCCCGTATAGCCTTAACAGACTGTAGGGGCAAGTGCTGTTAGCGAGTAGCACCTATGAAGGCCGGCACGGCACACGAGGGGGTGGGTGGCCAGCACCACGCCCGACCGCCTTTGTCTCCCCAGTGGCGATGTTTACACACCGCACCAGGTACTCATTTATGGCTGAGTCGACCTAGGGGAGGCCCAGGACCGGTTCAGATAATCGTCACTGGTGTTAGCCGTGAGCGGGAATCGAACCCGGGTCGCCAGGTTCATAGCGCAGCGCGCTAACCGCTGCACCACCGCTCCCCACTACACACTACCGCTCCCCACAGACACAGACACACACAGCCATACACACACACAGACTCACACACACAAAGGCACACACACCCTGTGTTATACACACAGAATATGGATTACAATGCCGTATACTTGTGTGTGCTACGGATTACAGGGCAGGAAGAGATGGGGGGGAGATTCAGAAGGACCCTGCAGAAAACGTCGACATCGAGGTGATGGTGGTGGTGGTGGTGATGGTGGTGGTGGTGGTGATGGTGGTGGTGATGGTGGTGATGGTGGTGGTGGTGGTGATGGTGGTGATGGTGGTGATGGTGGTGGTGGTGGTGATGGTGGTGATGGTGTGGGTGGTGATGGTGTGGTGATGGTGGTG